TCACAGCTCTGCTGACCCTGCGGCTACTTCACCAAGGTAATCTTAGAATATAGCCCTGATTTTAACATACTTCTTTCTCCTATTACGTATCTTTGAACAGTGTCTACACAATCGAGCCCTGATCCCTGGCTCCGATACTTACATAGAAATCATTTTCAGAATTCCCCAAATAGTAAACATAATCATATCAACACAGCTTTAATCAGCATCAATCTGCACTAATTATTTTTACCATCCTCCAAATTATAACTGAAAAAAACCCAAGTGCTCTTAATAGCTCTGCTAGAAAAAAGCTTGTCCACCCTAACGCTCATTGTAATGTAGTCGGCAGATGCCCTCTAATGTTGTGTCAACTGTTCATTAGCCTTGGAAAGCAGCAGTGTCACTTGAAGCAGGAAGTCTCTGTAGTTTTGCAAGCTAAGATATGCTACAACTAACTCGTGGAGTGATTCAGTGACTCCCACCTTCCCATTATGCATAATAAGTAGCAAGTAAAAGCAACAAACTCATGTATAATCGTTCATTAGGAACTGTAATTACATTTCCACTTAATCCTTAATAGAAGTTGTCTGACATTTTGCAGTCAATCATAAGAAAGCTAGGCTCTTCAAGTCTAAGTACTGTACATGACTTGTACCTGCTGACTGATTTCAAATATAAGGCTTGGCTTGGCTGAGAAAGCAAGTAAGGGGTTGTCTGACCACCCAGATCCAGCACATATTGAATATTCCTGCGTATGTGATCCTAAATGACAGTGATAAGCAAGAATGTGCATAGCCTTTGAAAGCAGTGTGACCACAGAGTTTTTTTCTGGTTCTTAAACTCATCTGTAACTTCACATACACTTTTTTGTTATGATCAATGTGGGTGGAAAGAGCTTCTTAAGCCAAATGGAGACATCAAGGTTTCCTACTGCAACCCTAACCATCCTATGATTCTGCTATTCTGCGATTTCTCTAATATCAAGATCAAAAAGTAGTGACAGATCACCTCTGCAACATGCTTCATGGTCAAGAATATATGTATCTTAAGCAGGCTTGTACCAAGGCCATCACTGGCGTCGTGAGTAACCGAGGATTTGTCGATTATTCCACTCAGGATAAGCAAGAGCCTCACTGGAAGTCGTAAGTTATGAGTTGCACGATAGGTTGTGAATCTACTTAATTCCCCTATAAACCTGATCATGCAGCTATTCTCCTTTACACTAGACAGTCCTCCGTTTATACCAATTATAAACCATGTAAAAGTTACCTACCTGCTTTTGAAGAACTTCTTGCCTTCTGGTGTGTAACTGAAGGTAGGAATCAATCTCTGAACGTAATCCTAAAGTCCGTTTGTTTCTTGCCACAAAGTCTTTTTTCGCTTTTTGTGGTCGATCTTCTTGGATCCGAGGAGGAAAAGCACTTCCATGTATCCTGGAACTACCTTCACAGTGATGGTTTTCTGCAGGTTCCTTCCCTTTGGCATGTAGCCTAAAGGGTTCGTTGCTGACCACAACATTTGGCTCATGAAAGCTTAGTAGTTTTGTACCAAATTCTAACAACGAACCCTGTGACTTTACCTCCTGTTGATTCTTTTCTTCTGGGGAGCCATTGGAATGGAGGTAAAATGGATCTTGTGTAAAGTCCATACTGATTCCTTCAGCAATGTGACGTAGCTCAGACAACTCTGCTACATCCTTTGTGTTCTTCCAATTAGAATTGTATTGGGCTGAAATACGTGTCCACATACTGCTGCTTCCTATGTAAAAAAGAAGCACAGATTTATTTATGTATATATTGTTATCAATTCTGTATTATTTCAGGGTGCAATTTGAGCCAACAAATGTCCTGCAAATATGGTCAGATGAATTCTTTCGGTGCATACAGCATGGTAGGTTCTGGGAGGAGGTTAGAACAGTTCTATCCAAAAATTCTTCAGCAGAAAACTAGGTAGGACCTCCTCTTCAGTTTGGATTTTCAGTGTCAGTGAATGATAAATTGGCCCAACATTCACATCGCAGTAGAATACAATCTTTATCCTAAATTCAGCACAAATAAATTAGAGAATCAGCTAAAAGATGAAATGACATTGTGCTGCTTCTGATGTTTCCTTTAAAATGATGTAGCCTTCAAAAGAATGAGTATCTGTTGCTCATTCTTCAAGGGCTCTGCTGTGTGAAATAAAAGTGATATTTATGATCTATTATTTATTACTTATAAGATTATTATTACTTATTATTTATAAAAGTGATATATTCCTGATGAAATCCCTCTGTCCAATGTCAGTTTGAGACTTTCTAAGCAGCAACAGCCTCCAGCTCCAGGTTTTTATTCTATTCTGACTCCTATAAAACATCACTATGTTTCAATAAGAAAACTCCCTATGAAAGACTTAAAGTAACTTCTCATTTAAAAGCAGGCTGTAATTGAGATAAATATCCATACAAATTGGCTTCCAGAAGATGTGCAGGCAGTGGCAGGAGTAAGGAGCATGGGAGGGAAAGAGCTTCTAACACTGTTTTTTTCCTTAACTGGACCTGCTGTGTAGCCCTGGTTTCTTGGGCACTGACTAATGGTGAGCCCTTCAGAGTGATGTTTATAGGCACTGAAACCTGGTTGACTCTTTAGACCCTGTTAAAAGAAATGTCCTGACCTGCTGGATTTTCCAAACCGTGGCATAGTTAATGATGCTCACATTTCCATAAATCATTAATTCATCCTTTCTGAATTAGTTACATGCTTATGCCCATATTTCAAGTGGCTTCTAATAATACAACAATCTGTTTCTCTATCAATGCTTTTCATTTCAGGCAAGCATTAGCGCTGTGGTATACTCTAAACTGGAGATTGGATGGTTTACACTGGTGAAAACATTCTTATTCCTAGTTGTCATACACCACAGGTAAAGAGAAATAGGTGAGCATATTTTGAAATGAGTACAGAAGTATGTGATATAATTGCAAGGATTCAAGTAACAGTATAATGCTAAAGAGTTCTATTGTGCTGAAATGTGTGCACAGCAGCTCAATTGTATTATGCAGGCCAGGTCACCGCACGGGAACAAAACGAGTGTGAAGAGCTCCTTCATCTCTAATCATCTGCACACAAAAAGTGCACCTTTTATTCCTCCCCCCAAGTTGATATAAAGGTTAGATGGACTCTGTACTCATGAACAAAAGTGTTGTATGTAGACAACAGATGCAGCGGTTCCTCTTCAAATTCCGAGGTTAGTAATGGATGTAGAGAGGGGGTTTCATATGTATATGCTGTGATATTTGCTCCAGTTAATGGACTGTATTTGAGTACTTACTAGGCTAAGTTCAAACAAAATAAAATCAAATTTCCATTTAATGAAGAGCCTCACATTCAGCATAGTATTCAGTCAAAAAAATTACTAAAAATTAGAGCATCTTTCTAGCACAATTAACATCATTTGCACTCACAATAAAATATTCAATAACTGGCCATTTTGCCTGTTGAGGAGGTGAATAAAAGCATGCTATTAATCATTTAGCCTTCATTTGTTTGCCATTTTATTTTAAGTAGACAATTAAATTGAAACTACGCATCATTATTACTTCGGGTTTAATTTAACCCCTTTAAACTTGAGAATTATTCCCAATTTATTCAGTGTTAAACATTTTATGCATAGGACTGCAAATTGCATTTTATTTGATGTACCGAGTGAGCGTTTTCTAAACAATGTTTAAAGGTGACAGTAGCCCTGGAAATGTTCATTTTGGATTTACACAGCTATAAGGACAAAATGCACTTGTGCAACCCACCAATTTTTGCCTAAGAGGAAGTGGCTCAGTTTGCTCAGCACGGGTCTTTCTATATGGAAAGAAAAGAGGATGTGTTGGTGCTGGTTCTTGATTTCTTTATTGGCAAAGGCTGACAAAGCCTGCTGGGTGCTCTGGAAGGCAGAAAGGAGACTCTCATTTGTTGCTCTAAGTTAACAAGGACCCTATACAGCAAATGCATCACCTCTTGCTATAAAATCTGCCTTAAACTATTAGTGGTAACAAAGCTAATTGAGTATAAATAGCTTATGAAAAAAAGAGAGCAAAACAACACAATTTTAGTTGAAAAATAGAGGCAAAAGGCATTTTACATGTTCTTATTTGACTTTACACCATCTCTGACATGAAAGCTATCCGCAAGGAAGTGTGTGACAGCAAAACCACATTTTCTTCTTAAATTAGGAAGATGGCTTCTTTTCATTTGGTTGCATTTAGATGTTTCCAAGTTGTCTGCCCCTCCTGACACTTAGAAGACACCGAGTGGGAACGCGTATGTGACACTGCCACAGCGAGTGGCAGTGATTTGAGAGGAAATATACACTAGTTGGTTTCAGTGCATAAGTGGGATGTACACGGATGGGACCTATCCCTTCAAAGCTACAGGGTGAGCTTTGCTTTAGTACGTGGGCATCTGTTAAGATATGGAAATGCAGAATATGATTTCTAACTTTTCAGGGTGTTTATCACACCAGTTTACCCTCCGGAGGCCTTTTACACCTGGGTGGACACCCTGTACCCACTGCTCCCATCATGGAGCAGAGATGGGAGGTGGCACACACTCTGCAGCCCGAAGAGGAAAGCCCAGCACCAGCAAAGAACCTTCTGTTTGAACCACCTTTCAGCGCGCAGCATCCACAGCCTGTCCTGAGCCCTCCCCCTGGTGCTCTCTCCAGCCTGAAGGCAGGCCTGCAGCGCCCCCCCCCCCCCCCCCCCCCCCCCCCCCCGAGGCCTTGCCCCCCCAAGTTCCCTCACCCTAATACCCATCTCCCCAGTCCCATTACCCTTACAGGGCTCAGCTCTGCCCGAGGGCGCTGTCCCTAAGCGCGGCCCGTTGCCGACCGCCCCGTCGCGTCTCGCCGTTGCCATGGCCACGCCGGAGGACGCGCAGCATCCACCAATAGCGAGGGCGGAGGAGGGGGGAGCCGCAGGACAAAGCCACTTTAAAGTGATATGAGGTTTATTATATCATATATAATAGCAGCCGCTTCAAGGGCATGTATTTAATTCGGTGTCCAAAACCAGTGTTCAGCTTCTTGCTTACAGTGAGGAACAATCATCTCTAGCGGGAAAAATAAACACAGCTGCCTGCTGTAATGTAAATTCTCTTTATTTTAGGAGTTCAGTTTTATCTTCCCCACATAGAAAAGGCTCCCGGTGATGGCATAGCGGGGCTGTGCGGATGTAAAGGCTCATTGATTCTCCTAGGTTGCCTGCTGGCAAGCAAGTGACTTTGTCCCTGGATCTAGGGAGTCCCATATGTAATATCTCCACATTTGAAAGCCCATGTTTGAAAGCTTCCATAGTCTCAGTGACACCCCTGGAAGTTTAGGTGATGTGGGAGTACAAGTGTAGTACCCAGATGTTCTGGTTTCAGAGCCCCTTGCAGACTAGTGCTGATGCAGTCTGGCATGGCACAGAATGATGCTATCATTGCACAAGTGAGAAACCAAAGCAGGAGTTCTAGCATGGGGGAACAACCTTGGTGTTTTTAACTCTTTGGACATCAGGATGCTTTCCTCCTTGGTTAAGTACAGGTTTGGGGTGAGAATAAGATAATACAAGTCCCAGTAGGTCTGCAGCTCCCAGGGTTTCCTGCTCAGTCCCATGCTTGCAGAATTACATGAATGTCTTCATACCCTGCAGTCCTTGGAATACCTGCATGTTCCTTTGCCAAGACCCTCACTGCTGGTAGGATCTGAGAAAGGACTGAGGAGCTTCATTTCTGGCAGTGGTTATTTAAATCCTTTGAGGACTACAGATAAACCACTGTCTTCATTGCTAATAGGTTTCTAGGACCACCAGTCCTATCTACCTGCCCCACTGTTTAAAGGAAACCAATCCCAGGTAGCTTTTGGGTTGAGGGTAACTGTAGTTCTGCTCCTTGAAATCATATCGGTACTTGAATGCTGTAATATGAAGATCAGGAAACACTGGTGTTTCTGCACATCGTACAGATTTACTATTGCTATACATTTGTTTCCTTTCCACATCCAAACAGTTTCTCACTTATTGCATTGGTTCTGTCTCTGGGATTCCTCTGCATTGTTTCCACATATCCTGCTGTTACATATTGCATGTTGGACTTCTGATTGACAGCTGAAAGATAAACACACATTTATTATTGATTTTGTAAAGAGGGGATGGTGTACCTGCTGGAAATACATATGACTTAGTGTTATAGAGCAATAAAAGATGACATGCATCTCTAGACATTGTTAGGGCATCCATCACAGTGAAGACTGGGAAGCATGAGGTGGTCTCCTGCAGGTTACACAATACTCAAGGCACTACTTTGTACTAGAAGTGGTTTAAATGTCTTGCATGTGTATTCTTATATATGCTCAGTAGCAATGCTCTAACAGGAATTAGTTTACATTGGTTAAAGCTCTTTACCATGTCCGTTCTTCTCATGGCCTGGACTGTCTTCATTAGATTTGGATTTATAACTCTCCAGAGTCTGGTCTGAAACATCATTTTCTGCACAGAAAACAGATGTAATTAAGATGGTGAGATTTTCCCATGACCATCGCTCGCTGTCTGCATTGAGCATAGAGAATCTGAGAGACTGGTTATGAAAATGGGGATTTAATCATGTTGACCACCTAAGAAACATACTGAAGGCAACAATTTCATAGGGTTTTTTTTTGTGACACCTCGCGTCAGTGGCCTGAGACCACCAGTTACAGGGACTCTTCAACAGTTGTTTGCAGTAAGTCATGGTCACTGTCTAATTTATGGCCACTGTCTATGGGAGAAGGACATCTAAGCAGCGGTTGGAGGAGCTGTGACAGTCTCCTCAGCTCTCCAGCCCTGCTGAATTAAGCAGCGTCAGCAGTCGCTTGAACAGGGCCATCACCCACCTCTCTTCCACACTCCATGAGCTTTCTTCAGCTTCCTTGCAAAAAGCAGGACAATGATGAGAAGCACAAAAATCAGAGCAGCCACCAAGATGGGCAGCAAGAGATTTTTCTCTTTCTTTTCCATGCCTTCAGATTTCACATCTTTGTCTGTAAGAGAGGAAGGTATTTGTGTTGTTAAATAGCTTCCTGTGAGTCTCTGGTAATTAAGATAAGTTATATCCTGGACCAGGCCAGATGAACATGGTGCGAGAGCAGAAGTCACCTTATTGGATTTAAGTTTTAGGATGTGAGACAAATTATTTCTTCTTGTATGAATAAGAAATCGTATGATTGAAATAAGTGGGTTCACGCTTTTTCTAGCTGATAAAAATAGTTACGTTTTTGGGGTCTCTCCCCAGGATTGCAAGCCAGCATTACCCTAGTGTATTGACAAAAGGTTTGGAGGTACATAGTCAGAGAGAACCAGGTTGGTGTAAGACAGCTCATTGCATGTTTGGGAGCTATCATTAAGAGTTCATACCAGAGGTGATTGTGGAAATCACAGTTACATTTCCACTTGGTAGTGGGGTTTCTGTCCTGGAAACTTCCTCTTCTGTGACATTGCCACTGACTGCTGTTTCAGTGCCTGGGGGAATAGAAAGGAGAACAGTATTTCTCTGAAAGGCAAAGGGATGCTTAAGAAATACATATTTTCCCAAGAGCTTTGAAGCCCGGGGCATCTGGTACTGCGACAGAAAGGGACTTTTAGAGTCTCTGTCTCAAAAGCTCTGTGCTCACTTCCTTACTACTGTGTTTTGTTTTCATCTGAAGACCACCTAAGCTTTATGAACAGAAAATCCTCAGTGTCTCACACATTGCTGAACTCAATGGTTTCCATTTACAGCCAAAGTAAAACAAAGCTGAGCTCTGACTGTGGTCATTTGTGGGGGTTTCCCTGCCCATCAGTTAGTTCTCTTGCTTGCAAAACCAGGAATGAGCTTGTATCCTTTGCCTTAAAGTAGATTTAAATTGGTTTTTGGTATTCATATCCCTGACTACTCTTCTACTGACTTCATAGCTCCCAGTGGTGCAGTCACCCCATCCTTTGCCACCACCACCCATGCCTGATGATGTGAAGTCATACCTCTGGGGACATGAAAACTCGATGAACCAGCCAATTCTTCCTTTCCTGCTGCAGCTGGTGTAACCTCAGACCCTGCACAAACACAGAGGTGAGCTCTGCCTTCCTTACACACACAATGACAACACATCCTTGGGTAATTGAACTTGATTTGTAAACCTAAAGTGATAACGTGGGCTGTGTCTACCAAAACTTTACAATCATAAGAGATTTTCTTCGTTCTCAAGACCTGTTGAAGCATTCAACCTGCCTTTCTAAGCATGTTTATCAATAAGTATATGATCTGTTTATCAGATTGTAGCCATTCTCTAGCGCTTGTAATCACGGAGGTAGCACTTTTAAACAGCTATGAGCAATTCTAACGCAACCAATTGATTTTCTCTGCAGGGCCTGTCACACAAGGTGCCCACCTTGGTGGGTTTTGGACAAGCGATTTGAGCAGCGGAGCTCTTAATTCTTCTGCTGGAAACAACAGTTCACTGACTGCAACCCGAACCGTTGCTGCACAGTGCCATCTAGTGCAGCCGTCCAGAGAAAGAGAAATCCCAGCCTGGCCTCACACCATGCTGCAAGAGCGGCCCATTTGGCTCCTGCCGCTGCTCTGCATCTAGCAGCAGAGATTTTGCTTTCATAAACCTCAGTTCTCCTCACACAAGCAAGAAATGCTGCGGTTGATGTTATGTGCTTGCTTGTAATGATGAATGTAACGCTGTTCTTGGTAGCATTTCTGTCCTGCTTTGGTAACTTGACGTGACTAAGAGCAAACTTACAAGTAGGTGTGATGTCTGGTTGGAGGGTTTGCTGGGTTGGTGTTGCTGCTGAGCTGGGAACTAGTGGATCCTCTAGTTCTGCAGAAGAGATGGTTGGTTGTTCGGCTCCTAAAGGAACTTACCCAAACACAAGACAAATCTCAGAAGACACACTTTGCCATTGAATGATGCTTGAAACCACGACAAATTGATGCTTAAACCGTGACAAAAATGAAACCTGCCCTGTATGCTCTGTGCTCTGGGCTGTTTGGGTTCTCCATTGGTTAGACTCCCAGTCCTACCCTCCCACCTTCAGCTTCCCTGTCCTCTGACTGTATTTAACACTATGAAATGATGGAAGACCTGGGCATAAATTAAGAAGAGGCCAGGCAGCCAAAGCCCACCTGTAGTTTGCTCATTCTCAGAGACACGTGTATCCACCTCTGGGTTAGATGGTGCCAGATGTGGTTTTGCCACTGAAAAAAAACAATAAAAGCACAACTTTCAGAGCACTTTATAAGTACTTGTGGAATGAAGCAATCTAAGGAAGAAGGGAGCAAGAATAATAAGATCCATCCTAAAGATGAGTAAACAGGCAGAAAGTAAACTCTAGTCTGAGAATTATTAGGCAAGCAGCTTCAGTTACTGTTAATTTACATCATTTACCCTCTGTGGTAGTTAAAGCCCCCAAGTCTTAGTTTGGAATTCTTTTGCTTCAATGTAAAAATAGATTCCACACATGGGCAGTAGACTATGGGCTTCAGCTTTGCATGTGAATCTGCATAACTTTCACCACCTCAGAGTGGGAAAATGGGATAAGGACTCCTGAAGGAGCCTGCAGTACCTGTCCTAGCAAGGTCCTCAAACTGCAAAGATGCCATCAGCTTCTCTTCTCTGAGTGCTTGGTGGTGAATGATGCAGCTGGCTGTTGAATTGGGCCCATAGGCAAGGACTGTCAGTGTGCTGGTTGTGGTCCATTTCTTCCCATCAGCTTCTAACTTGTGCTTAGTGTCACCTATATACCCATTGGAAGAAAACATTTAAGTGCTTTCTAGTCAAGAGTAATTGAAAGAAAAACCTTCCAGGCACAGTCTGCATTACTTTGCTGTGCTAAAGCAGCGCCTGATTACTGGGCACAAGTGGTTCACTGTGTAAATGGATTACATGGGAGCCCAAAGGCAGCAAGGTCACGGTTTTTGCCTCATCACTGTTTAAGTGCAGACCTCACTGCCTCTGCTGGGTTTCATAACTAATGTGGGGAAATTCACCTGCACTGCAATGTCCAGACACCAAACACCAACTTCTGGCCCTTCTTGGATGGGATGAATGGCTCTGCTGTGTGCCACAGCCATGGATGGCCTGTGAGGAGCCTCAGAGCAAGGACCTGTTGTTTTCCAGCATGACTCAGATCTAGCAAAGTTCTGGCTCTGCTACGGGGTATCCAAAAGCATTAAATATGTGTCTTAAGAGCTGTGCATTTGTCACCCCAAACATAAAAAGCAGTTGGGCAATATTTGTGCATATTGACCAACGCAAAGATAAATTGCCTGGGAGTTTTTCTGTACATAACACAGAGGATCTCTGGAAACAAATTGATGATTTCTCCTCATCTATTACCCTTGGTAATAGATAACTTTATTGGTAACCCTAACTTTATAAATGGAAGAAATTCCTTGTTTCCAGCTTAGCCTTGACAGGTCATTTGCTGTATCACATAACCTGGTACTTCCCAACTCTTTTCCCCATCCCCAGCAGGGTCATGTAAGAGCTCAAAAGGATTCCAAAGTGGTTTTGTTAGGAAGGAAAGAATCTTTGAGAGCAACAGCCCAGTAATTACAGCTGGGTTGCCCCTGCTGTGCCCTGGTGGAACAGAGAAGCTGCCAGTAATTAAGGTGTATTAGCTATTTAGTGACTAATATAAATATTTGCAGTAAGTGATTAAAGCTGGGAATGGGAAGGAAGGGGTGGTACTCAGTCATCCTCAAAAAGGAAAGGTACCCACAGAAAGTCTGAGAAGCAGTGATTTAGGATGGGTAGTTCTCACTGGTATGGTTTGCTGCAACAGTTGACTGGCTTAGTGTTACAAGGCAAGGCGAAGATAAAGGTAAGTGTAGGTTTTTGTTAATAGAAGTGGAGAAAAGCATGGTTGGCTTTATGTGTTCTGGGAGGTGTCTTGTGTTTGAGTTGTGATCTTACAAATAACACACTTTGCCAGGCCAGAACTGAGGGGCTTTCAAGTCTAAGGAAACCTCCTGTTTTTAGAAGAACACTGGCAAAAATGCATGTAAAAACCTTAGAGGTGACTTATTGCTTCCCTGGGCTCTTCATAACTTCATAGCTGGTGTTCCCCCAAGACCTTAGTATCATGCAGCCCAGCTCTTCCCAAACACATGCAGGATTTTAGAACTTGCTTTTTCAAGCCCCATACACCGCTCCAGAGCATCTTTTACCTGCCACCACAGATAGCTTTCTGCCCTGGCTTTTGTGTGGTTCACTTACCAGCTGCGCTGCTTCCCCTTAATACAGTTTCTTTAAGCATAGGTCTGCATGTGGTTGCATTAATGCCTGTGCATCTGGAATTATTCCTTAGTCTTGATTTCTAGCTATATTGAAGCCAACACACTTCTCTGCTGTTTTCTAGAGTTCTTAGTTAAAACAAGCTGTCTGGGGGTGTGGGAGAATATAGGTTAAGCTTTGAATATGTTGCTTGATGATGAAAATACCATTAAGAGCTGGTTACTATGTGAAAGAAAAGAGTTTGCATTTATGGGTGTTTTCCTCGTGCTTTGATACAGACGTGCATTTCCTCTCTGCTCTGCTACAGGTAGCTAATAAGGTAGCTATTACTAGAGCATGGCCTTTGGAGCAGCTATTTATATGGCACATGAGTTAATTTGAGCTACGTGGTGGCTTTGTACTTCCTCGCGTGTGTCCACCCAGGTGCGTGCAGACCTCTCACTGGGGCAGTGTTGCAGGGTGGCGTGGGCTCTTGTTTCCTGAGCTCTCTTCCTGTGTCTGCTAGTGGCTTGGAGCAGGTTAATGTGAGAGAGGCTGATGGGGTGTGTGTGTGAGCTGCTCAGTGAAGTAGCTTACAACATGGAAAGCATGCTTACAGCGTTGAAACAGTTAAAATGGGTTTGTTAACTGACTTTATATCTGGGCTTTGGAAATTGTGCCTCCAGAGTTTGGGTTTCTCTTTATTCCACTGGAATATGACTCCTGACCCTCAAGGGGTTTTGGTGCTAAGTGTTACTGCTCTGCACAGAGTGTGAGCAAAGCAGATGAGCCCTCTCCCTTGCACAAGCTCTAGAATCCAGTGCTGGGTTTTCTCCCAGCCTGCATCGTGGGGCCAGGTTATACTCAGTTAGTGAGTGATGGTCCCAGAAGGTGTTCTACCCTCAAGCCCAAGACTGATAAGAAGGAGTTGTTAGTAATAAGCCCCTTGTCCTTTAATGCTTACCAGGGAGTTCTATCCCATTGTCCAACAGCCAGGTAATCTGGGCCTGTGGTTTACATCCTTGGGTATAGCAAGACAGTATAACGCTTCTTTCTGTGCCTCTGGATACTTCCAGTACTGGGTTAGAAGGAGCAGCTGCAACAATAAGATTTTGAGTCGGTTATAGAGCATCTTTCTACTGGGTTTTATGACTGGCTGCACATAGCATTGTTGGGGGGGAGGACGGGACAGCATGGGACTGAGCTAAGACCAGGATTATGCTGTGTAAAGCACCATGCAATTGCATGCAAAAAAGCAGGTCTGGAGTTGAGAAGCTGAGACAAAGTGGGTGAAAGAACTTACCTAATACCTTAACAGTCTTGTTCTTGCTTTTGAAGGGGATGCCATAGTAGAAGCATTTATATACGCCTTCATCATGCACTGTTATGTTAGACAGTTGGATGGATAATTCATCTTTTGAATAATGGATAAGTTTGTGTCTCTGATCTCTTAAAGCTGTAAGGAAAATAAAAGCCAGCATGCTGTGTGTGTATGAACAGAAGAGGAAGACAGATAATCAAAGCATTAATGAAGGGGGACCATTTTCTGTTTGGCATTTTTTTAACCCACCAGCATTTGACATAGAGGAGCAGTTCCAGCATGGAGCATTCCTTGCTGGTGCTGCACTAGTACATAGGCAGCAGGAAACCAAAGAAAGGAGGGGGTGTGATGCCAGACAGGAATATGCCATCCTCTTTCTTGCTTTTATTTTCAGGGCAATCTTAATCCAAAGCAATCTGGGTTCTTTACATCTCTAGATGGGTAAATATAAGCAACCATTGTGGGGTGAGGACATGATGTGTGATCAGAAAACTAGTATGACCTTTGAATATAGAGCATAGATACATGAACTGAGGAGCTTTCCCTTCCTCATTCTCCAAGCCTTTATTTGGCATTGAAAAAAATCACTTCCTTCTTTGGGTGCCTTTTGTGATGTATAAGTGAACACTGTGGTCAGCACACACCTCTTTATTAACTGCTTAATAATTGGCTGGTTTGCGTCCCTTATATTTGTCTGATTACCTTGATTTTAATAAGGGTGTTTGTACTCTGCTGTACAACCCCCTTTCTCTCTCTCGACTTCTAGTTTTGCTTCATGGATGTCCCATGGGAGTCCTCAGGCATGAAGGCACATGGACTTTTCCCACAATCACAGCACAGAAAGTGTAACTTTCTGCCCTTAAATTGAACTGAAACTGGGGTTGTGTACCAACCCTTAGGGAGAAAAAGACCTCAAAAGCTCTCTTTTTACTCTAAAGCTGGGGTCTTGTAAAATGTGGAGTCGGGAGAAAATCCCAACAGTGCTGTAATTTATGGAAGTGATTAAATATGAAAGGATTTTGATATCAGCCTAAGGCTTGTAGGTAGCTGGTAATATTTTAGCTACAATAAGACTGAAGGGAACTGATTTGTGGTTTATTGGAGAAGCAATGTGACCAGCATCCACGGTGGTAATTCAGAACGAAAACGTCTATGCACAGTGTAAAGTCTGGCCACTCTCTAAATGAAGACTGTTTCCTTTTGTATTGCAAAAAGAATATATTCAAGTGTGTCTGACTTGGATCCATATGCTTTGCAAACTCTAGTCCTTGTGGATGTTATGTCATGTGTCTAATTGTGGACCAACAGGAGGAGAGAGACAGACAGAGACATAAGGTGTAGGGAGTGGAAGGGAACACAGTAATTGTAACTTTGGCTTTATCTCAGAGAATTTTAGAAATCACTGCTTGTTTCCTAAACATTTCCTCTCGATGCACTACATCAAATTCCCTGATGAGCAGGAGAGTACCCAGTGCTTTCAGGCATGTCCATTCCCGTCTCTCTTCTAAGGTAAAAGTGTGTTTTTGTGCTAATGCCTTGGTGCTGGTGGTAACTACAGTTCATTACTAAAAGCTCTAGTGCCAGAGCACTCTTGTGAGGGTTTCCATTTCATCAGCTTCCTGCCAGAAAGGGGCTGAATGTAAAACCATCTCGAGTGTTGGGTAGGAGGTGAGTCAGACCGGCCATGGGTAGGAGCTGGAAAGCCCTATGAGTGACCCTCCAGTCCCATGTGGAAAGAGTTGCACTTGGTTTTCACACTTACCCTGCTGGGTGTTGAGAAAAATGGCAAACCCATGAGGGTTTAACCACTGCCGGGCTGACCCATCGTCACTGCTGAGGGTGCAGCGGAGGTTCAGGTCCTCTCCTTCCTTTAGGGTTATGGTTTCACCTCCAGCTTCTGGAAAATCCCCTGCCAGCGATGAGGCGGGGGGGGGGGAACAAGTATTGAAATGTGATGTGAAGCAAAGCAGCAGTTTCACACACAGTATTGCATCAACTTGCCTTCTTTCAAGGGTGTAAAGGCTCTTCTTGCTGATACAATTGTATTGATATAAATATATCACAGTCATTAGGCAGGTCATCCCAGCCACTGGGTAAGACTTGTACCAAAGGTTTGTGATCTTTACCTGCTAGCACAGCCACGTTTAGTTATTAGATGTTATTCCATGAGCCAAGGAAGAATTGATAGCAGACCCATTTAATGCATGTTCTGCCTGTATGTTAACACAGACATTATTACTCATTATTCCATGCTCTGTTCTGGAGCTGTTAAACCCGATTTACAAGCATGTGCGAGGCATCCCTACCCATGGTAGGGACGTGGGAACTAGGTGATCTTAAGGTCCTTTCCAACCCAAGCCATTCTATGATTCGATGGTCAGCACCTCTGAAAAACGAGGCTTTCATTGCGATGTTGCAACTGCTTTGAGCTGGTTTTGAAACTTCCCGAAGGCGGAATCCACAAACCTGGCCTGGCATAGCTTACTAAACCAAAATGCCCTTCTCTCTCCTCCCAGTTCATTTTACAGATGGGCAGTAGAGTGGGTTTTTCCCTGTCAGCAGTCCAAGCCATATAATACACTTTGTGAAAATATTTGATGACCTGGAATAAATCGCCTTCTCCAGGAAAAAAAAGCCTGCCCTGGAGAAATGACCAAGAGCAATGCCTGGGTCAGGGATAAGTAAGTAGGTAGGAAGAGGGTTATATTTTTCATTCCTGTTTTGCGTGCTTTGGTTTTCTCTCCCAGGTAGGTGTTTGCTACAAGTGCTTACAGTGTCCCTGAGCATCGCAGTTTGGGGAAATGAGCATTTCTGGTCTTCAGGGAAGCTTTTAATGTTCTTGAACCATTTAAAAATCAAACTATCTTAGGGTATTCTTGCTGGACCGAATTCTTTATCACTAAAATCAGAGGGAGGACTTGTCTCCCTGTAAGACAGTATTTCCCCATGAGGATCTGTTGCCATGCCTCAGCCGTTAGTTGTGCAAGCATGACAGGAACTGAAGAGTGGCTGTAACTGATTTACCATCACATATGGCTCATCAGTGCCTTTGCCTTCTATTTGTTCTTGTTTCCGCCTCCATTTCCTAGGGTTAGGGTCTCAGCTTGTTTCTCTGGGCTTGTCCTGTGTGGGGGTCATTTGCAGAGGAGCAGTAGAAAAGGCAAAGCTCCTTGCATGGGTTCCATTTGTGAAGACCTGTGCCAGGAGGTGCATGTTGGTAAGGCAGCAGAGGGCCTTGTCTGTGGTTTTCCATGGGGCCCTTCTATAGCGATGATTTCCTGTCACTAACAGCAGTGTGGGGTCTTTCAAGTCGCACCTTCTGAGGTGAGAGCAGCACGACTGAACAAGAAAAAGAGGGGGTGTTTCTTGCCTTTCTAAAACAGAGAAAAGCAGCCCCCAGAACCAGTATATATGTAGTTTCCATGGGAGACCATGGCTTCATTCAGACAGTGACTCACAGGTCAAATCCCCTTTTGTAGAGGACAGTTTGATGTGCCTTCAAGCCACTGTAACCCACTACAGTACAGTCATCAGGGCATGGGTGATGCTCCCATGCCAGCTACAAATGTTCTTGTGCTGTGTGGATCCCTGGAAAAATTAGTCTGGCATCGAGTCCTGTGCTGTACATCGAGTCCTGTGCTGTACATCGAGTCCTGTGCTGTACATCGAGTACTATGCTATATCCACCTTCTTGGCAAGAAGGGGCAGCAATTTCTTGCAAGGAATTGCAGGATGCAGCTGAGCAGAACGGTTCATGCCTCTGGTTGCTATTTTAGTCATCAGAAAGAGCATGGTGAACTTGGTGCAACTTACACCTCTAAGACCTGACTGCTGCTGAACACGTTCAATGGTGATAAAATATTCAAAGCATGTGGTATTACAGAATGCTTTCATAGAATCATAGAACAGTTTGGGCTGGAAGGGACCTTAAAGGTCCAGTTCCATTGCTGTTTAGACGCTGAAATTTGATGTGGCAAAACGTCAGGAGCGAAATCCTCAAGGATCCTGAGCTGTAGATACCCATCTTGCTGCTTTCCTTACTTAAATCTTTCCCTAGTTGACATGGTCAAATATTATCCTCTCACTCTCCTGTGTATGAAGGACAGGAGATTAGCAAAGGAGGCATAAGCTACATCCTCTAGTAGGAGTAAGGAGTATTTAAAGGGCTTTCAGTTTTCCAAGTACTTTGCAAGTGCATTCTAAATTGGTCTAACGTCTTGTAGTAGCCTCTTTTTACACAGTACATGAGCAAAGGCAGACACAGATACCCACGCCACGGAAAGCAAGCAGTGCTCCACAGTCCAAACTTAAGGTCCTTGCCACATCAAGTATGCGGTAAGCTGCTAGGAGGCCAATCACTCTCATTGATCCTGGGTTTAGGAGTCAGCTGGGATTGAGCACCAGTGTGCTTTGGAAATAAGGTGACAATCTGGCATTGTCAGCGAGAACACAGCAGCAGCAAAGCTGCCTTGCACACAATGTGCTGGAACCCTGGAAATGGAGTTCTCCCAGCTGGACTGCTTGCAAAGGGGAGATGGGCTAAGACAATGCATATCGCTTACCTCGCATCAGGAACAGAGCTATGATGTGCAGCACGCTGGTGAAAGTCATGCTGTGGTGTGGGCTGACTTCCTCTCTCTGCCGGGGCTGCAGTGTGCAGCAGGTCCCTTTTCAGCATGGGGGGAGCAGATTTACCATGACTTCATCACTGCTGGGGTCTCTGCCTCCTGTCCTTCTCTCTGCTGTTCCACTCTCCTCTCCCCCATCCCACGTTTCCTATGTGTTGGCCACTGCTGAGAACTTGGTGAGCTCACAGATCACTAAAATGAAACAGGTGGGTGACAGCACCGGGGGCACTTCACACTGCACCCCCTCCAGCTCTCCCTTGCTTAACACCCATACAGTGAACAGGGGGAGAGATGTACACGTAGGGGAAGCAGATAAAGGTTAAGAGAAACATGGGCCTATAGGTGCACTGTGTGCAGGGTTTAATTCTGAGGATGGCAGAGATTAATTGAAGGGCACTGTTGTTGTGCAGTGATTGCTTGAAGACCCGCATGTGCAGTTTAAATCCCTTGGAAAAGACTTGTGTGTTGCTCTGCACCTTGTACTGCCACATACAGGGGAGGTTTGCTTTGCTCTGATTGCAGGGACCCTGGCAAAACAGATAAGGAGAGGCAGATAATCATCTGTGTGTGGTTTGTGGCTCTCCATGGACTGAAGGGAAGAGGGATGACTGCATCAAGGAGGTCCCAGAGGACCTGGGCCAGAACCTGGTTTCCCGTGTCCCCTTGCAGGCCTGACTATAGGGACATAGCAAAGCTTTTTGTGTCTTTTGGTGTTTAATGTCCAGTAACATCACAGGGTTTATCCAAGTGTGCTGTAGGCAGAGCCTTGTTTCATGATGTAGCCATGTGTAGCTGATTTCCAAAAAGGTTTTGGCAGATCCTCTAATTCTATTAGCTATTGATAATAGCTATGGCTTTTATGTTAATGATAATATCATCAGTTTAATGGGAAAACAGAGCTGTAGGCCATAAAATTTAATGTGCACCCTTGGTTTGAAAGGGAAGTCTCCCTGGCTGATGAAACTCTGGCTGGATGTATAAAGCTCATACCACAAAAGAAGATATGTGTTGTAAAGGTGAGCACTGCTTCGGTTTAAAAGCTGTGCTTCCAGTTCCACACATCTAAACCTGATAGTAAAGGGGAAAGCAGCCCTTAAGCAGCAGCAGCGCTGAAGTCGCCCCTCCTAACCCAGAGGGAAAACCAGACTTGAGATGGTTTTGTGCCATCTGCCGACGAATAAATGAACTTCATCTTCAGGGGTGAGCAAGTGTAATCCAGCTCAAACTCCCCTTTCTCCTTGATGTTTCCGAGGCTTACACCCATGCAGGCGGGCATCCCGACGCGGCATGTGGTGAGGGCAGCATTGCAACCCAAACTGAGGAGCGGCCCTGGCTCTTGTTTTGTTGCTAAGTTCCAGTATAGCTGTTCTCTAGTTGTACACCCAGCACGGGTGTTTTTCCTACCCACATCCTCCTGGAGCCGCTGAAAATACGGCTCTGAGGTACCCTCCATTGAAGGAATATTCACTCTGTCAAAATCCAACAGGCTTGGGAGGCACATTCAAATAGAAGAGCAAGGTCGGCATCTTTGTTAAACCACCTATGAGACACTTGTGTCCGACTTCAGAGAAATCCATTTAATGTCATAAGCAAATCAAAATGCAGTGGTTGTTGTAACAGTTGTTAGCACTCGAAACTGAGATTTAAAAACAACCAACCCCTTCCCCCAAAATAAAAAAGTACAGATGTCACAGGTAATTCCAGCGGGTTTTGGCAATACAATTATTGTCTTTTGAAACAGCAAACATTATTTCTCAAATAAATACAATCTGCTCACACTTACAAAAACATAGGAAACAGAATGAGACATCAGGTTTAAAATGGAGGAAAAAAGAAGTATCCATTGATAACATCAAGTTTGAAGAGATGTCCACAGAGAGAAACGGCAGAAAATACGTCTGAATGGGAAGTAATTTTGTTATGAAGAATGCACGGGTCATGAATATTCCCCAGGGAACAAGTGTGTGAGGAAGTGGTGAGAAGTAAGTAGAGTAATTTAGAGTGTATGCAGCCAATTACATCAACTGCTTTGGTGTTGTTCGGTCATTCACTGTTTCAAGCACGTCTGCTGCCACTATAATTTCATGTATAGCTTTGATGTTCAAATAATTCCCTCTATGCTTAGGCCTTTTAAAAAAACAAAGGACAAAATAAACCTATTAAGGCTTCCTTTCTAAACCTTTCGGTCCATTTTAAGTTGTGAAGCAGTGCAAGCTAACTTCCAGCTCCGGGTTTAAATGGGGGTTAGTCAGCTACAGCTTAACTCGAGCATCTCTCTTTGAAATGAATATGAATATAACCAGGCACTAAATCTCACCTTGCTTATGCATGCATTTCTTAAATCAGAACTGGAAGGGCTCAACCCTGCCTATGAGCCTTCAAAGCCCTCATTCAGTCAGTGGCAGGGGAGCCTTTGCACAGCTTCATCCCACGCTTGAGGGAATAGTGCGAAATCTTCCTCTTTGTTTCCCTGGGCTCTGGATCATGGATCAGGTGTCTGTAAGGACCCATGCGACCCAGAGGGAGAAGTTTACACCCCCTCGCATCCAGTGCAGTGGCAGGAGCCAAGTGACGAGGCTCTTTGTCACAGTGCTGTACCCAACCACCTCCCCATCCTCTCTCTGTGTATCCAAGAGATGCACATTAATGAAGACGATGGCACCCACATCCCTGAGATATTGCTACCTGGGGGGCTCAGGGCTGCAGACTGAATTGAATATGCTTGGAAGTAGTGCTTTAGCATCCCTTCTACCCTCTGGTTTGCACAGTTACAGCTTGCTTTGCCCTAATTCCTGCAGAATTCTGGTAAACAGCCACTTTCATAGTCAGGTTGGCACTGGAAGCTAACACCAAAGGAGAGGAGGAGGCTCCTACCATCAGCTGGCTTCTGACTGAGTGAAAAAGGAGCTATGGTTTTTATGAAGTTATGGCCTGGATCCTCAGCTTGTATAAAGCAGCAAAGCTCTGTTGATTTGAGTAGGCAGTGTCAATATACCCTCACAGACAGCCTGGCTCTTAGATACAAATCAGAGGATTTAAGTATTTGGCTGTCACTGCCACTGCACTAAGTGTAAGGGAAATACATGAAGCTTTAGCTGTGGCATCTGCATTAAGGTATCCCAGGGCAGAGCTCAAGCCCTGTGGGATCAAACCTGAACTATTTTAAACACTGGTTTTGACCTTCTGGTGCTGCGCATCATCCTGTCGCCTGCTCCTCTGCTACAATAGGATTCTGCACTTTGGTTCCTCTGTTTTTCTAGCCCAACCCTAAAGTTGCAGTTTATGAAAATACTGGATGAGCAATTCCAAGCTTTTTATTCCTTAATTGGGAAGAGAGGGGAAAATCTGGGAACTATTTGCCTCCTGTACCCTAATTAACCTACTGGGATCTGATGAAGCTCACAGTGAAGGCAAGGGAAAGACTTGCATGTGCTTTAGATAGCTCAAGGCTAATACTCTTCTGGGACAAAACACTGAAGTGACATTAAATAGACATTAATGAGCAGCAATGGAGTGAAGGTGAAGCAGCAATTGTTTTGTATTCTTAAAATCTTGATTAAAAATGAGAAAGGAACATCTTTTTCTTTCCCTGCAATGAGCCGTATCGACATGAGACTACTCAACACGCTACTCCTGTGAGAAATCAAAATGCTACAAGAAAATAAGGTTTCTTCTGAGATTCTTGACACCTGAAGAATCTAATTTGAGATAAGACTACAATTGTCAAAATACTTTCTCAAACATCCAAAAAATATATATATATATTTTAAGAGGAGAGTATTTTAACATCTACCTTCTCAAACAGAACACTCTTTCCTATGTTACTTGCTATATGCAAAGATCAGCTAGTACAATATTCAAATTGTGCATTCAGGTTATGTTCCCTCTCTGTTTCATGCTCCTGTCTAAATAAACCCTTTGTAACGTTGCTTAAGTGCAGCAGGACCTGAGCAGCCTCTGCTGTTTTGTATAGGCAGTATTTGTTGCCTCAAATAACATCTTCCTGGCCCAAAGCGTGCAACAAAAAGCACTGCAGAGGATTACACATGCATCATTAGCCAAATTAGCTTTTGGTGTGATTGTCATCACTATTACTTAGTTTTACACCCTTTGCAAATTTGCAGCGAGCAGGCATGGAGGAAAGCAAGGCAGAAAGGCTCCTCAGAACGCCTGTACACAGCCAAAAGTAGTTTAAATTACAGTTAAAAACTAAAGCGACAGCAGTGTAACTGCATGGGAGCAGTTTCTTCTGTCGTTTCCCAAGTTATCTCCCTGACTTTTCAGTATACATCCCTGGTATAATAATGCACTTACGAATGGCCTGCTGTGTGTTACATAGTCATAAATGTATAAATAATGGATTATTGTTACAGCTCATGGCAATGGATATATTGCACAGGATGAGCGCTCAGCTGACTCAGAATCTGGTGTCCTCTCCCTGGCAAACTCAATGAAACCAGAGACAAAGCTGAGCTAAACCCTCTTCAGCCCTGTTACATTGCAATTGCTGAGGGGTTTGCCTCACTGAAGAAGGAATTGCAGTTTATCACTTCCCATTGGTTCTGACTGCTGAAAGTGCGGCTCCATCGTATCCTGGTGAAGCAACACAAAGCGAGCTTTCATTTTGCTATGAATAATAAGCCTTTGTCAGAGTTGACCATTATAAACTTCTGTGCCACGCAAACCTTTCAAATGAGGAGCCTAATACTTTCTGCAATGGAAAAGCTGGACAGAAGAAAGGTACCTAGGATGCTGGCATTTCTTTCCTGGTACTTCTGAACTTGCCTTTGATGCTATTTATGGGAATACTCAGACTTATGGCCCAAATCAAGCAAGCAGTATGCCTAAATCTCTTTCATCCCATTTAAACCATTTCTAAGTACCTTCTGAAAGCAAATCTACACTGATAAGACCTGCAGAAAAGTCTGCAGGAACTTTTGGACCCAAAGCTGATGACTTCAGATAATATTAATCTAGAAGAAACCTGCTTTGAAGCCAGTTTACACTCATAGCTACCCATTGTGTTGGATTTTGCATTCTCCTGTGAAGCAGTTGGTATTGGCATCTTGTAGTCTGTTGTACTAAGAGGGCACCTCTTGTGATTGCAAGGATTTTAAGTACAATGGAAACCCTTCTCTTCCCCTTCTCCCCAAATCCTACCCCTTGCTCTATGGATAAGCAGCATCTTAACAGGCCAAAGCTCATTGCTCCTATATTTAAGCATACTGTTTTTTCAGTTCTGCTTTGTCTTTATGACGGATGGCACTTAGGAGTTAAGGAAAAGAAACCAAAGTATGCAGCAGAGGCTGAATTTCAGCATCTTTCCTATTTCATTGTTACCTCCTGAAGAAAGCTGCTTACTGCAGACCCTCACCAGCCCTGACAGAAAAGCCCACAAGGGACAGAAAGCCACTGCTGTGTGGATGACCAGCACAAAATCTCAGTATGAAAGGGAAAACCCTTTCCCAAGGTCTTCTGAAGGGAATTTAAATGACACAAACAACAAGGCTGGCTCTGTGCACAAGGGTGGATTTCAATAACCTAAATAATAAGAGAAAAACCCCAATAGCAACTATCCAGATCCTTCAGGTTTGGTTGGAAAAGGCTTATTTTGTCTCCACTTAAATGAGACTGCTCCCAGTCTTGGTTCACAACTGTGCTGTCTTTTGATGTGCAAACTTCACCTGTAACTGATGTGGAATCCTGAATTGTCTTCTGACATGGATCAGCATCAATCAGTCCTTGCATCCACAGTGCACGCAGCACTACACCTAACACAGTGCTCAAACAGGGGAGAGGAATAATGTGATGCTGCCTGCAGAGGCAATGCTGGACTCTCATTTCCAGCTGGTGGTGATACACTTCATGGAAGGTGCTGAGAATCTGGGGGCTAGGATTAAGGGGGGTGTCAGCACATCATCCTGAACGTGCCTGCTAATGCTCTGCAAACGTAGTAGTGAAACAAACCCCCAGCATCCTGAATGCTCAACTCTTACATAGTGCTAGTTGTTTCTAACGTGGTGCAGAAGGCAGTGATAGTTACTGGTATTATTAGAGCTCCATTCAAAGTGGGAAAATCTACCTGAGCTACTGACTAAACAGAGACTCCCTGATGTGCAAGAGCTTCAATCTGCACTTTATTTTTTAACCTCAAATCACTCCCTTTTGTATACGCCTAGTTGTATGTGAGAATTCTTGCATGACTGTGGCTGTGTGAGATGTGTTATAACAGCTGCTTGTGTGATCCACTGAACAAATTATGACTGTTTTTTCCCCACTTTGTCAATAAACACAAGAAAGAAGAGCATTCTCCAATGCTTAGAAAGGTGATGGGTTTGCCTTGCTCATGTAGCTTTGCCTATTCTTGTAGTAAGGTTTCTCTCCAGTTAAAGCCTCCAGTTGGTCCGTGTGTGAGAGGGAGGATGGGGGGGTCCGTAAGCTGCCAAACACCTGTATCTCCCAGTTCTTCACAGGAACAAAACCCCAGGTATGGAATCTGTGTAAAGAGAGATGGAAATAAAGGCATTGAGCAGGGATCAATCTGGGCAAGGAGGGAGCTCCCCTAAATACCGATGTCCTGCTGTGCTCCTGAAGCATCTCACTGCCTTCTCTGTCTTTCCCTCTCCCCAAAGCCTGTTGTAAAAGATGACTGTAGGACTCAGGGGTGACAGCTAGACTTTGTGCACCATCCTATGTGTAAAACACTAGGAAAGACAGATTGTACCTTTGTAACACAGCTTAAATATGGGCCAGCTCAAACCAAAGATGCCCTGTTGGCTGACACGGTCCTAAACCCTGAAGGCCAGGACAGTTTATGGGGGAGAAATATGGATGTGCTTATGAGTATCCCAGAGAGCCTCTGCAAGGCTGGCAGTGAACAATGCCATCTCCTTAGCCAGTGTGAAGTGAAGGAATGAAGGCAGAAGAAAGACCTCACTATAATTTTCAGTCGTTTTCTCTGATGGGTAACAGCTCTTTAGAGCACACCGAGGAGGGGATGTGCCGTAGGGCAGAAGCGGCTTGCTAACTGCGGTTACTGCGTTTTCGGCACTGGAGGGCACTGTGGGAGCCTCTGTATAGCTCCTGGTGCCTGCAAGCAGGAAGCGGAGTCACCGGAAGCTCCTTTGCAGGTGGGCATCTTATCCCGTGCTATCTGTTAGAAGGTATAGGTTCCGATAAGCCTTTTAAACCAAAATCTGCTTTACTCTCCTGACTTCCGAAATGGACGGGGCTCAGTACGGGGTGGAACAACCAGAGGAGGGGAAGGCAGTGTCCTCTGCCTGCTTAAGCAGATTGCAGATGCCTTTGCTCTTTGTGAAGCCAGCAAGCTTTACTCCTGGGTGGTGATTACCTTTCGGACCATCTGTACAAAGTCCTTGGAGTTCTGTGGCGAGAGCCCTTGGAGCTGGCAGGTACAAGCCTCCAGGGAGGATGCATGTGCCACTATCAGGATGTTATTTCCTGAAATAGAGGGAGAAGCACAGGCTGAGGAGGGAGAAGGAGCCAGGTTTTCAGGGACCGGTGCCCAAGATCAAGCAGACCATTTCAGGTGTTTGAAAGTGGATCAGTTTATCACATCACAGCAATTAGACTATGTGTAACAGGAGGGAAAAAGCTTGTTTTATTAACATCCTTGGAGCACTTCTCATTTTCAGGGTAATGGTTACCTTGGTTTGAAATCTTAGTTTTCAAAAGGTTTTCTGAAGAAAACAGGAAATCCAGGGAGATTTCAGCTGTCTGGTGAAGCAAATGCTTTTCTCCTCCCCTAAAATGAAGCCTGATTAAAGCAAGCACTTTAATTTCAGTTGCTGGTTTCCCACAGTGACAGCTTTAGATTTCCAGTTCCAGGATCCTTTACAACCAGTGCCACACTGTGTTATTAGGTCTGTGTGCAAGCTATTAGAAGCTTATAAGGTCGAGACAGATCAGTGAAATAGTGGAATCACCAGAACTTAGAAACTTCCTTTTCCTTATTATGAATGAAAAATAAAAGCTAGGGTTTTTTAATGCAAGAACTGCACTGTGGTATTAATGGGCAATGTATTTCAGAGCTCAGATAGGGGATGGAATATGCCCCATCTGATGCTGGTAATAGCAGAGTGCAAATGGCTTATTCATTGCCTTGAGAGACAGATAGCTTGCATTGGGTATGGATCCCACTTCTGCTACTGCCATAAAGTTTATGGACCTTTCTCATAAGCTGAGCATGTCTGGACTCATAGTTCTGGTGCATACAGGAGTTTCCAGTGTTTCTGGGAGAGAGGATGAGAGACACCAGTATGGGGATTCACCTGCTTGAAGAGGGAAGGACCGGTCAGGAATACTGGCATTCACATCCCAAAGAGCGTGTCTTGTTTTTCACCCCACTGGTAACACTCACCTTTGCCTTTACATTCACTGATGATTTCTTTAGTTACTTGGTAGCTTCTACTTATGTATGTATCATAAGATTCGGAAACCACTAACTTGCTGACAGGAATATGAGGTCTGTGAGCAGAAAAACAAGTATGGTAAATTGGAAGAAGTGATCGAGGTTGAAGTGCAAGCTATGATTCATCTGAAAATATCTGTTTCTTTAAATTCACCAAATCTCCTCATGTCAGGACCACTGTGATGATTTTTATACTTCAAGATCAAGATGTTTGTTTTTCCTCTGCATAAAGAGATTTCAGTTAGCTGGGAACAATAACTGCCTCCTCTACTGTGGACCAGTTCGTGGTGGCAGCATAGGGCATGCTGATTATACTTGCATTACTTCTGCAATGGCTCTGCTTAGAGGGTGGGCTGACAACATCTGTGTCTGCTTGAAGAGACTGGGCAGGTACAGGGAGAAACACAGAGCATGGGGAAGGTAGATGCTGGCTCTCTTCACTGCTCATGCTCTGATGGTGAAGGGCAGAGGCAAACTGCTGCTTTGGCCATCTGGAAAGCTGCATTGCTGGGAAATGCCTGGAATTAGACAGCCTCCTCCCAGGCTAGGGAGGTTCAGTGAATTGCCTGGCAGTTGTATCAGCTGGAGTAGGTGATGTGCCTAGAGAAGCGAGGGATAGGAAGCAGAAGGCTGTATTTTCCTGCTGTGCTGGAAGGAAAAGGCCTAACTTCTCTCTCCATCCAGTGATCTGACATTGATCTACAGGAATTACCCTTGCTGAGAGGAGCAAGGGACCGGGCTGTCTCCCAGTCCCCCACCTAAGCAGCTGGCCACACAAGGGCTGGCTCTTTTCTTGTGCTGAGAGTAGTCATTATGGGCTTCCCAGAAGGCATGTATTTTCTGAAGCAGAGACTCCTGTGGTCCAGCTGCTCTGCTGAGTGTTAGCCACATGATACCCTTTCAGGGATAAATACACTGTAAGGACTTCTATTTAGATACCCTCATAGTGCTGGAATTTTAGCTGCAGACACAATGCAAGTGGTTTATGCTATAACTAGTCATAAAAAAACTGTAGTTTTTTTTTCTTTACATTTTCCCTTGGTTTTCTTAATGTTTCAACTGCTTATCCCTAAAAAACTTTAGAGTTTATTCTAGGAGCCTCAGCTCCAGTCACTGCTTCAGTTTAAAATCTCAGCAGAGCACTTCAAATACAAACCCCAAAAGCAATGCAAGACCCTCTCCCCCCCCCTTTCTGCTACCTGTAGGTTGTATCAACGCTTAGAGTAGCTGCAGCTAAATCCACAGGGGGTATCCAGGCAGGTAGCGTGTTCCCAGAGACCCACTTGGTCCATTCAAACAAGCCTGGCTCTATCCGGATTTTCAGGTTGTTCTCTTGTTGCATACCTGGAAAAGGGAGAAAGGAGACCAGGTATCAATGAAAGCAGCAAGACTTTGCACCTTTAATACTCTGGTTTGATTGTTAATTCATTTCTTTTCCTAAGTAGTCAGTTGATTAATAGTTCATGTGAAAGATGAAGTGTTTAATACAAGTACTTGGCATGTGATATGCCAGGGAGTTTAAATCTATGGCCAGCAGCTACATGCAATATATTGACTGTATTTTGGAGCTGGTTTTCAACCATTTCCAGTGCCAGGGCATCCCATAGGGAATCAGTTTCCTTTCCCAGTTTCTGCAGTAAATTATTCTTACTGTGGGTAACAAGTTTCTTAGAGGTAGCAATTGGGAGAGCATGAAGCAATGAGCCCCTTCAGGAGCCTGAGCAGGCAAGGGCACAAAAAACCCAACCCTGACCACTTGCTTAAGCACTTATCACATCGTGCAGTTAGAAAAGGGTTCCTTATGGGCAGTGTTGCTCTAGTGTAAGTTATCCTCCCTTGGAAGTGATCTTTACCCTGAATTACCATTGAGCCCTTGCCAGGCTCCCTTTTACATTTGGCATTGTTTTTCCCCAGAAAGTGAGGAGAATGCAGCCTTTCCTGCTCATTGGGTTCTTACCTTTCAGGATATTGTGTGCTGTCTGTACACACCGTAACGATGGGGAGCTGTAGATGTAGTCTACAATGGTATTAGTTTCTAGCAAGGCTTCACCTGCAAGCAAGTTGCAACACCCATGAATAAAACCAGGCAAACGGCATTGTAACAGCAACAGCAGCACGCAGGGCGTGTGCCACAGCTTCCCAGCTGCACTGCTCGTGTTTTGGGAAATACGTGTACCCATCACGTTTTATTTCAGTGTAGGGCACTGTGATGTGCACAGCTGTGGAGCCAGGATTCATTTTCCTATGTGTGTCATAACCAGTATGCAAAGAAATCACAGCGGCTCTTGCACAGTTTCTGCTTCTCTTGCATTTAGCCAAGAAGAAAATGGTGTGGTGAGAAACTGTAGAGCTTGAATTTAATTTCATTTCATTTATAAGCTGTAAATCAGAATGATTCAAATTAACTCAAACCCAACTTAATTCAATTGGCTCGATTCTTCGCTAGTATAAATTACCATTTCATTACACAGGTGGAAGATCACTGAAAATGAGATAAAAATCAACTCCACTACTGGGGTTATTAATGTTCTTGCTATGGCTAAGGGAACCGAATGAGAACAGGAACCTGCTCAACATTGCACAGACTTGTAGTACGAAGGAGTTATATTCTTATTATATTAGAAGAGGCAGGACAAAGAAGTGGGAGCAAGAAGGGGTTGTTAACCTTGACTTCGTCTGTTTAACGATGGCTGTAACCATGTCAAACCAATCCATAAATCTCTTGAGAGAAGTGGGGTAATTTAGGAGGAGAGGCACCTCTAACAGCCCTCCGTTATGGGGAAGCTGCTCATTTGCTTTAGTCATCAGAGGAATTATGGCTCCAGCAAGCCTCAAGGTCGAGTCTGTGCCACTGCAGCGGTTGCCTGCAGATGGCTGGCACGCAGGTCGATGGTGCCTGGATCACGTATGCAGTTACGTACTCGGACCCATTTAATGATACCAGCAAAGTGTGCTGTGATTGCTCCCAGATCTGCCTTCTGTTATGTGCAGGCTGCGAACCCTGATGCCATGCGGCCGGGAGTCTGAACATCCTGCTGTTGTACAGTGATTTATTTCTGTTTAAAAAGCAAGTGTAATTTTAGCTGCCCTAGTTTCAATGTGACCAACACCAAGTACTATGAAGGATTTGAATCTGAGAAAATGCTAAGTACTGCTCAGTGAAGTTCTTGTCTCCTTTAATCACAATGCTCAGTATGTGCTCTTTGACTACCAGATGCTTTTTTATCTGTACACAAACCAACAGGCTCAGAAATCGGGGACAAGGATGGTGGGGTGGGAGAACACTGGAAATAATTTAGACTGTGTTTTTGCCATATAATCATAAAGCCAGGCTGATAAAAGTATATAGGTGTAGCAAACTGCAGCTCAGAATTCAGGCTTTTCAAAGTCAAGGAAGAAGCATCTTTTGCATGAGGTGACCATCACACTGCTGCATTTCTCACCAGCATTAACAGCAATAACAGCATCTTCCACTGTGGCACGTTTACAGTGCTCTGCAACTGCACTGCTGATGGCTCTGATTTCATACCCTGTCCCAGATTTTGGGCTTTGTTTTTGCTTCAGCTGTAGCAGCTGCAGGAGACAAGGTTCCCTTTGATGAAAAAAGGGGGGTTGCTGGGGAAGGTGAAGGAAAATAGCAAAGGTTCTTGACACATCTAAACCCCATTAGCTCAGGGTATTCACTTTGTGGCTGCCTTGCACTTTCTCTATTTGTGGATGCTTTTGTCTGCTGAGGACAACTTACCAACGAGCCTTGCCTGCGTACAGCCCAGCACGGTGATGGGTGCATCTTTCTCATAGTCCCTGAACCCGCCACTCCTTTGAGGTAAGCTGTGGGGCATGTTCAGGTTACTGCGCATGTACCTTCCTGTGCGGGAGACATCAGAGGTGGTTGCTGGAATTAACTTGATGAGAGAGAGGCAGAGAGCATCACGCCTGTTTCTACTCTTACCACAGCATCTGCACCTCGTAGGTGCTGCCTAGACCTGGCTATGAGCAGTTTTTCCCATGTAAAGCTACCAGGAATCTGACAAGGTGAAGTTAAGCAGCTGTATCAGTTCAAAGTCAAGCAGAGAATTTGGCTAGTGTTTGTAAAGTTATCTTTAGATTTCCCCGAAGGAAAATGATCTCTATCCCACAACAAAAGAAACCTCAAATGTTACACTTGTACAGGAGGCTGAAACGTCAGAGCTCTTCGAGCATAATTTAGAAAGAGGGTAGCTCTAAATCATCCCCTTTTTTCCATCAAAAAATAGAATAGATAAAAAGACTTCTTTGACAATTTTCCCATCAGCTCTAATGCCAACAGCGCCTGAAGTTACACTCTGTTAACTGCAGTCTGAAACTCAAGCATATAACTGGGTTGCAAACTCCAGTTTATGCCCCCAAAGGCACCCTGACCTGTACATGTGGTGCTGTAACTCTCACTTGGGACTGAGAGCCAGCTGTGCCAAATGTTTTCCTGCTGGTAGTAAATGTTTGCACTGGGTACTCACTGCAAACATCATTACTTCATTGCCAAACAAAAGCACTCTTTGATGATGTTACTTTATTGTAATCCTTCCACCACGCTCCTTCCTTCATCTAAACCTAGAGCTTGAGAGACCCATGAGAGCCGGCTCACCTTTGGCATCAAAGCACTGTGACAGCCAGTACTTCCCAAAGACGACATCCATCCTTTCCCCATGTCTGCAGACAAACAGGTAGCGTTTCTGAGGCCCAGGCTGGCTGGTTATTCTCAGCGGCTGGAAGAAAAATTACAGGATGCTTGATCTTCATCAAAGTGCAAGGGGTTTTCCGAGCTCTGATTTATTAACAGGAGTCCGGACCAGGCACCTCTTGCTTTACCTTAGTGCAAATGCACACAAAACTCTCAAGTTGGTAAGTTTATGTTGGTATAAAACTGCTGAAGTGAGCAGAGGATGGGGCCCTGCTGCCCCACGCTAAAAGCAGGTGGGGACACTGATGTCTTCTGTGGTTATCGTGTTATCCAAAAGCTTGTAGAGAACTTTAACTTGTAACTCCTGATTCAGGCAATGAAAGGAGACCATGCTGGGGAAAATCCAGTTGCTGGAAACTTACCCCTAAAGCTGTGTGTGATCTATGTGTGTATGTGGGTCCCTACCTGCACGTTCTGGCAGATGATAGTGAGTGGCCCCGTATCCCCAGGTCCTTGGTCTTCCTGCTGTCTTCTTTCCAGAGCTCCATCAGTGAAGGCTTGAAGGCATGGGGAAGACGTAGTATTCAGAATTGAGTAGGACCTGCCAAAGATAGGAAGATGTTGGCTTTGGGAATGCTTTGGACTTCAGGTCCTCAGGCTGCACTAAGTACATTTCTGTAGTCTTCAGGAACTGCTGATCATTACTGTAGTCATGTTATTACATTATTACCTGTGTGTTAGTGCTGCCTAGAGGGCACCTTGCTAGGTGATACACACACATGAAGAGACAAATCCCATCTCAACAGCCTTTCTATTTCCTTAGATTAAGGCCAAGATCTTCCCCACAGCCACAGGATGCTCACTAACATCATCTGGGGACCAGCTGCACATTACTTACCATGGTTATAGGTACCAAAGTTTGGAAACTAATGGCTAGAGGGAGTTTTCACTCACCTTTCTAGCACAAGCTATTGCCTCGGTAGAGAGCTGGGGCACAGCCCTGCCTCTCATGATGGGCTCACAAAATAGCTTGTATTCCCTGGTAGGGACATGGCACACTCAGTCTGGGTTGCTGTTTCTCTATTTTCAGCGCTGTCTGTTCTGTTTCCCATCTATGATGGGAATTTATGCTCACTAGTGCCTCCAGTTAAGTGTAGCCAAAGGGATATAATAGATCCCACTCTCCCTCAAGGGGCGTATGGTCCCTCTGGATAAGGCTGTCATGTCCAGACGTTCAGAGACTTAGACCGAGGCCCTGGGGATTAAACTCTGACAGGCCATTACAGAAGCTGCATTGACCCTCTGCTGATTGTGTGGATTACATGTGCTTAGTCATTAAAAAGAACATTGTCAGGTAATGTATATGGTCATTTGCTCTGACAGAAATAGTTTCAGTGCCTTAAATATGTCACAAGTTGCTTCCTGACTAACACCTAGTTAGGATGAAATCTCGCAGGGTTTTCATTGCTGTTAAAATAACACCAAGTGCCTCTGCCAGTGGAACAAAAATGGGTCATCTGCCTTTTTGTGAAGGACTGATTTTCTGTGGCATCGTATGATTTGAACCAGTTTAAGGAAGGAAAAAAAGATACTACGATGTTTGTGGTCCCTTATCTGGTGGAATTAGGATGTGAGGATGAGACTGAGGTACCAGTTTATTTGGTCAGGTTTCCAACCTATAGCACTGATCAGAGATCAAGTGTTTCTCCTCACTGTTACTAGCAGGTCCAGTCCTTGGCATGAGAAGAAATCATGCAGGGTTGTGCCACTTATGCTAGCAAAGAAATGTAATTTAGGTGTATAGAAAATCCTTGGGGTCTGCAGAATAGAAGTGATACCATTCCTATTTTTAGTAGACACGGAAAGGATTCAGACCTGAAGTCTCTCAAGACACAACCTGGTTTCATGGGCAGTAGCTCTGCCTCGAAGGCAAAGCCTCTTCTGCCCTGTTAAATAGATCATCAAGCTTGCCTTAGTGTGGCAGCCTGTTGGTTTGCAGCTGTGGTACAGGCCTTCTTGTATGCCTGTACAGTGCTGGCCAGAAGGTCTGTGTGCCTGGCAGAGCTCTTGAGACAATAGCTGGTCATAAAAACCACGTCCTGCAAAAGCCATGGTTGAGGTTTTGCCTCACTTGAGCAGTGCAACAGGGCGACCTTTTCACGGTGAAACCTGCAGAACCAGCCATCTGATTTTGCTGTATTAGGGATTTTACATCCTCAGAATAACATTTTGCAAGGTGCTGCAGCCCAGAGAGAGCTGTGTTCTTGTGAGGATCTCAATAGCGCATGATTTCCACTTGGAAGAACGCAGTCTCTCGTGACCAGGAGGGAAAGCTCCATGGCTGTTATTTCTTTCTGTTTCATCCTCTGCAGGGCGGAAACGGGACATGGCTGTGTGCACAGAGGCAGCACAAACTGGCCCCCAGGATCACAGCATCGCTTACCAGCAGCAGCTCCAGTGCCAGCACTGTGAGTTGGGTGTATCTCCTGCAGCAAGGTGGTTCTGCAGTCCTGGTGAGTCCTGCCATGCTTACTTTCATGTCTATGTGCCGTTCGTCTCTTACCACAAGGATCCTACTCTGACTATCATGAGAGCAGCATTGCTTAGGTTCTCCTTAGCTTGCTATATTGTTTTGACTACATGACATTCCGTAATCTAATATTCCGTGCAGGAAGTCGTTGTGTAAAATGAGGCTGTTTCCGGGTACGTAATGATGTTTTTGATAAATGCTTCATATTGCATGTTCCAGTTGGTGATTTATAGTCTTCAGCAGTTAATCAGGGAAGGGGCATTTCCTTGCTTTGATTGTCTGGAGGCAGAGGTGCTGGAGTTACAACACATTTGGCTTTCCTTGTTGTTGCTGCTGCAATAGTGATTCTTTACCATGCTAATCCCTAGGCCTCAACACTGTTCCAGGCACTGTAAGAAACAATGCACTAGAGCAGGCTGCTGTGGTATATGTGGTCCTGTGACCATTCTGGATGGCAAATGTTAGGGGAAGAAAGGATGCTTTTGCTGGATTTCATATTGGAGGGTCTCGATTAACTCCTGTCTTCATAAAAATACTCTGATTGACTTTGCTTATTTTCATTTCTTTATGCCCTGGCTATTGGAGGCCTTTCCTTATTCAAAAGGTGAGGTCTGCATTCTCACTGCAGCCAATGGCAGGCTTCTCTAATCTTTCTAAGTATCTTAAGAAACATTGTTGACCCCAAGTCCTTTTCCCTAGGGAATTATACATAGGGGATCCTGCTTCTCAAATTAATGCTCAGATCTAAGCCTTCCTGATCCTAGTCCCACCACACAGTCTAGTCCCATCTACACAGTCCCATCTACACAGCAGTGGCTCTACCATGACCATCTGCTACCAGCAGCAGCGATCCCATGAGTTGCTGTAATACCTTAGCTAAATAAATCACAGTGTCCTCTAATCCCATGCACAGGGATAGCATCTGCTCTTCCTTTGCTTATGAGATGGGGCTTTGCGTGCCAGTTTGTTTCCCCAAGTGACCTCCTCAGCCTCTTCACTTACTCAGGTGAAATCACAGCTGCTGTGATTTCATTTTCACAGCAATGGAAACAGGACTGAGCAGCTTTACCTACCCATGAAACACCCAGGTCCCACATTCATCCGCCTTCGTGATGTAGTTTTCAGGCAGTAGCCCAGAGCAGCCAGTTGCAAGGGAAATGCCATAAATCCAGCCCTCACTTGTACTGGTTTGTTCCACTGGGGACATGAAAATAAAATCCCCTGGGACCAGCTCCAGTTCATCATCGTTCTGCGGGGTGTAAGGGTAGATCACTTGCAGAGTCTGGGGGAGAAACAGAAGCAGAAATGAATGAAAGGATTGTTAATGGAAGAGAACCTTTAGCTGAATGGGGCAGGAGCACTCCTAGACTGGATGCTTAACCTTAGCAAGGTGTGAAGAGTTCTCCTGGTAATGCATTGCTTTGTCCCTGGCCAAGCCTGACTTCTGCAACAGCCTCACTCTGAGAAAATCCATACCTGCTGAGCGCCTCTGATCTCCTGATGGTGTCAGCCCGTTTGCCCACCAGTCCTCCCCTAGACTATTTGTGGCATCCTCAAAGGAGGATGGAAACTAGTCGCTGTCACCTGATAGAGCAAGGCCAGAACTTCCACACATGGCTGCCTGAAGTTAGATATGCAGAGACACGCGCTGGTTTTCATCAGTAACTCCCTTTGCAATTAGTGATAGTGTTGACTACTTGCAGCTTCTAAAGGACAAGATGGCACTTCGGATAGGAAAGCAGGCTGTCAGGCATAGGAAGCACAGGCTGGGTCAGAGCACTGTATATGGAAGACTTCAGCTCTCCAGAAGCTTTGGCATCTGCTTGTGTGTCTGATTGTGGACAATGTGCTTTGGTGGGATTAATCACCCCAACCTTAAGAGTCTGGTTAGCTGCCTGAACCTCAGCAGGCACCTTCTGGACGTTCCGTCCTCCAGAAGCTGATTCATCTCATCCTGAGATAGACACCTTAGATGGGTCAGATGATTCACTTTCTGGAGGTGCCTGTTTCTCTGCATAGAGCCTCAGTGCAAAAGGAGCCTCAGACTTAAAGGTCTGACCTGGGGATATTCACAGGGAGGGGAGATGAATCTCAGGTGTGGTTTCTCTATGCCCAAGATCCCAATTTACAAAATGTAAATAATGCATATTTTGTTGGAAAGCATTATTAAGACAACTATATTAAGACACTTGGATGCTGCAGTTACAAAATACATCTGAGTAATTGAAGTATATGGGCCATGAGGATAAACATGATGAAACTAAATGCTGTGATTAGTGATAATGTCAAGTCTGTACAAGAGAAATGGGTAGTGGTCAGTTTAAGATACCAGCCTGATTCTTGAGAGATCAGACCAGCTTACACTGAGCTAACAGGACAGCCACTGTTAGAGTTAATTAATCCAGCAGGACATTGCTCCTGCAAGAAGCAGGAAAGGAGGTGGGTGAAACAGCAAGTCTAGACGGAATGGATAAACAGCAAAAGAAAAGGCAAGATGGTCTAAGATGGCTGGTAGGATGTGGGAGATCTGTGTCCTGGGTGTCCTTGTGGGACAGGCAACTCCTTAATGTCTATCTAGTCTGCGCTGCATACTTGTGCATGGGGGTCCTCTTTCAGCCTGCAGCTTGTGAGCCCTTTTTGGCTGCGAACGCAGCTAAAAAAAGCCTCAACTCTGCCGGGTGCTTTTGTGGGGGGACCGAAACGAGCCCCAGTGATTTACCTCGTGGTTAACGAAGCGTATGTCTCGAGAGAATATCGCGGCGAGCCAGTCACAACCCAGCTTGACGTCGATGTTCTGCGCTAGCTTCTCCAACGTGGGCAGGTGGCTGGTCTGGAAGTGATAGGCCAGCGTCACGTGGAGCTGCTTCTTGTGGGGCTCCACATGGACGTCTGCAACAAGGAGATGCCAGTTAACAAGTGCTGTGGAGATGAGCAGCTTTTGGAAGGTGTAAGGGTGTCTGTCGCCTCTGAACAAGGGCTGGGAGCCCAACTCTTAAAAGATAGCTCAAGTGGAACAAATTGTAGGGCTGCTGCTGAAAAGGCTTTGGGGAAGTCAAATGTGAGCTCCCCAGACGTGTTGCACCTTGGATCACATCATGAGACATTTGGGGGCTGATTCAGGCCTGAGTCACAGCTGGGTGGTAGAAGAGGCATTGTTGCCTAACTGTCATTTGCATTCAGAAAGCAAGGGCTTGGATGGTGTGATAACAGTTATTGTCATTTTGAACCCATGGGGGTCTTCTGCCAAGAAAAACGCTTTTCCAAGGAGAGGTGTCAGCTTTGCCATTAGCACCTTCCCAGAAGAAGCCTGATTTTTACTCTCCCTCCTTTTTTTCTATGGTTACAATTATAAATCCATGGCATTTACAGTTGCAAGTTGATTACATCTTTTCCCTGGGCATTAACTGGATTGCCAGTTTACCCACTGAGGGTGAGGTATTCCAGAACTGTGGAAACAGACATTGATATGGTAATGATCCTGCAGAAAAAGAACCTGTATTAGGAAACGATTCTAGAAAGCAAAAAGGTGAAAGGATGTGAAACACTGGCACTCCTCCAGTCAGTGTGGAAATCATGGGATGCATTGTTTGCATGTAATTAATTCTTGCTTATTCAACCAAAAATTGCAATTAAATTTGACTGATTATTCAGTCAAAATTGCAGCTATTCAGAGGCTTGGCTCCAACTGCCAGCCAGGGGTAGCTGTGTGAGCTCATCCATCTCTTTTATTTTGATCAGCAGGAAAAAATATGCTCTGGATCTTTGAAAAAGCCCCGGAGACTTTAATGTGATAACCTGACCAAGCTGTGGACTGCAATGCAGCAATCGGCTTCCCCTATGAAAGAACCAATTTGGTCTGAATTGGAGCAATTGCAGGGGCAGACACATGATGGAAGCCACTGATGCTTCCTTCTCCTGGGTCAGTGTTGTGGAAAGAACTACCTCTTCTGACTGTGCTGGTTTGGAGGGGAACACTTGTACCCCTCTCATACAGCTGCAGCAGTCCTTGGAGCCGCCTGATGTCTCTGTGCCTGTTGCTGCCTTTCCATATGTGCATTTAGAATCATAGAATAGTTAGGGTTGGAAAGGACCTTAAGATCATCCAGTTCCACGCCCCCCTGCCATGGGCAGGGACACCTCACACTAAACCATGTCACCCAAGGCTTCGTCCAGCCTGGCCTTGAACACTGCCAAGGATGGAGCATCCCCAACCTCCCTGGGCAACCCATTCCAGTGCCTCACCACCCTCACAGGAAAGAACTTCCTCCTTATATCCAACCTAAACTTCCCCTGTTTAAGTTTTAACCCATTACCCCTTGTCCTGTCACTACAGTCCCTAACGAAGAGTCCCTCCCCAGCATCCCTATAGGCCTCCTTCAGATACTGAAGGCTGCTAGGTAACAGCTCTTTTCTCCCTCTTCTAAAGGGAAAATAACTTCTCAGTCACTGTCAGGTGAAAGCACTGCATCTCAGATGTGTGGTGAACCTATGACATGCCTGTTTCTCTTCCTCTGAACCAGAAGCAGGGACTTGCAGATGTTTGCATGGTGTTATGGGCTGCCTGTCGAGCATGGAAGCATGACAGGGACTCGGAAGTTGCCATATCTTGATGCACTTAAACTCCAGGATAAGCCTGTGGTAATGAAGGACTAAACTGGTTGTGTTGTGACTAGTCCAGGCTGAGCACTACAGCGATGGAAGGTGGGAGGATTAGTCAGGGAGCTCTTACAGTGCTTCAATACAGTTGTGACTTCCAAGTCTGGAGGCAATCGGAGGACACCCAGAGAGCCTGTTCAGCAGTGGAGGCCATTAGAACACAGGGTGCTCTGGTTATTTCCCTCCTCCCAGCTCCTGATGGGTTCCCCCCTCTAGAAGTAGTAGAGGATGAGGTGATGGAGCCAGAGTTGTTACTATTGGGATTTGAAAAGGGCCACTGGGGTCTTCCCTTTACATCTCAGACACGCAGTGAACCAACAAACAGAGGCTTTACATGGCTGAGGAAAGTTCTGTGGCAGAGGCTTGAGGCTGGAGTGGTGCAGGAAATGCTCAGCCTTGCAGACAAAGCATCTATCTGAAAGGTTAAGGAACCACCAAATGTCAACTTCCCTTTCAGGAGATAACACTTGAGACTAAGTGTGAGGTGATCTTTCAACCGAAAAAGCACTGAAACCCAAAGCACGGGGTGGGGTGTTCCTCTGGGGCTCAGCCTTCAGGCCGCTTGGAAATATCAGCTCAGGCTTCAGGAGCTTTGTTTCTTCACACCATCAAAACCGAAAATGCCCAGTCCTTGACCAAGCTGTGAGTGAGCTCTTTGTAGCCACCACGTAGTCACTCACCTGCTTTAGAAGCAGCCTCTGCAGCGAAGTCTGCAGCAAACTTCTTGAGCACCTCCGCACTTTCTTCTTTGACAAAAAGCCCGATGAAGTTTGAGGATGTGTAGAGCTCCAAAGGCAGAGGGGCAGGGAATTTGCATTTCCATCGCATCACGGTGGCCTGCAGAGCTTCCGTGAGAGCATCGACCTTGCTGTCCTCACACTGCCAAAGGAAGCAGGACAAGCTCTGTAGTGCGCTCAGGGGAGGGGAAAGGCTTGGGTGGGTGTGGATGGTCTACCCCTGCTGTAATGCAGCGAGGAAAAACCACAGGGTCATAGAAAAAGGCATGTTTAGAAATCCTCTGCCCCTCCCTTGTAATCAAAGCAGGATCAGCTCTTCCCAGATAACTTCCCTAACCTCACCCCATCTACTCGCATGTTAGCGATCACTGGAGATGATGAAAATCTGCTCTTTTAAAACAGCCCTTTTAAAAGCCAATTACCTCCCCAGCAAGCCCAGGCATCACCAGCTCTGGTAACACCCCCCCCAGCTCCTGAGCACAAACCCCTCTGCAGTGAGCCTGGCAAGGGCTGCTCATGAATGCATGCATAAAGGCAACGGAAAGAGGAGCTCTGGTTTACCATAAAGAACTGGCAAAGGGTGATATGTGGGAAAATGTTGTGAGCTTTGTTCTTCCCACAGATCTGCTTTGACTGCTGCCAGAACTCAGACAGCTTCTGAGCCAGGGGGCCGGTGGGGCGCAGGTAGAGGACGTACTCCCGAGGCAGGGTGTCGTCGAGGAATGGGTCACCCACATGGGAAAACAGCCTGAGAGGGAGAAAAGTGTTAGATTGATAGATAAAGACTCTTTTTTTCCCCCAGCAAAACCAGCTTCCCATGTCCTCAATTCCATCTGTTCTCCCCTGATGGGATAAATCAGCTCCAGCAGGTCAGGCAGAGAGGTGCACTGCCTCACTTGCAGCCTATTACCACTGCTAAGTAATACAGAAAATAGGTTTTTACTTTCAGACTGAGGCTCTGAAGATCTAACCTGGGTCACTGCTTCTGCCTTTCAGTGTCTAAAACACAGGGAGGAGAGCACTAGAAATTGCTCAACATCTTTGAAAAGGCAGCTCTCAGTTTCCTATTTAGGTGCTAGAGTACAGAGAGTAGTGGTTCCTTTCCCTCACTTTTCTTGCTATTACTTGAGATCACACTCTCAAACAAGGCTTGTTTCTGGATTGCTTATTTATAGCACTTAATGTCTCACTCCTTTCTCTAGCGCCCCTGTTTAAACATTCCACACTCTTAGGGCTAAAACCTTAAACATGAAATTCACTAATTTCTTTGGCTCTCTTTAACGTTTACTACTTCATACCAACCAGTCGCAAGCTGCTTGAACGCTTCTTCCGCCTGTCGATGCCAGTGCTTTTTGTCTGGAGAGAGAGCAAAAGAAGAAGAGTGTTTCAGTGGGGCTGGGTTATACGGCTGTAGTCACATCTGCTGCTGGAACCTGGGTCCTTGCTGGGGAAGGATGTGTTTAGGAACCTGTGGGACATGCTTTCCAGGACTGATTCTCTCAGCCCTGGGGATAACAGATGTGCTATCTGTCAAGGGGCAAAGTCATGCAGCATGTTCAAAGGATGAGATAGAGACCTCTGGGTTTTCCCTCCTTGGCCCTGGTGTATTTCTGGGTGGCAAAGCACCGACTATTGGCTTTTAATGACCTCTTTGCTCAGCATGAAATTCAAATGTTTGGGTCTGAAGTGCAAACACTGCAGTAGAACTGAGGACAGCTAAAAATCAGCTGCCACCAGAGGGCACAAACCTGATTTCTTTCAGGTTAGAATAACCCACAGTAATTTCCTAGCTCCCTACCCTGAAAGGGCTCTTTTGCTTATTTCCCTTTATTATGCCCATAAATCCCTTTTCACTCCAGCTGAGAAGACCCAAGTCTTCTGCTCAGCAAGTTTTCTAGTTGCAGAACAAACCTGCTCCGTGCTGTTTAACTTGTAGCTATGGAATAGTGTTTTCCAAAGGCTTGACATCAGCGTTGAAATGCAGCTGTGGCTCAGCTCAGCTTTGTAATGCTGGAGACTGCCAAAATGGAATTCACCCAGAATCCAAATGGCATAAATATTTAGCACAACTTATGAATGAAGGAGGCAGAAAAGGATAGAAACATTAGGGCCATGGGGCAGAAGTCATGCCCTCGGTTGGGTGTCAGGAGGCAATTTCAGAGCTTCCTACTTAAGGCGTGAAGGGCAGTAGGGCTTTCAAGCAAGTGCTAGAATACAACCAGTTGTATTCTTCTGTTGCTAATTTGGCTGAAGAAGCTGCCTTCCTTTTGCTCTGTGGCTTATACACTGTGTCTCAGAGCTGCCTGATGTTAGCAACAGCAAATCTAACTGAGGACAGGAGAACTGCCAGTTTACACCATCCGGCCTCAACTTGTAACCTAATCTTACTAAATATGGTATGTTACAGCTGACATCTTTAAGTTAGGGTGAACATGTCTGACCAAAGGGATAATATCAATGTTCTATGCACCCTGTGTTATTTGCTGCAAGATGATGCTGCTGGTTGGTTATAGGAAGTGTGTCCAAGTGAGGGAAAGGGGTCAGGACTCCAGGGTCCAACACGTGGCTCTAGGATTAGGGCACCCAGGACCCTGCAGCATTGCCTATTTGTGCCCACAGTACTGTGTAGGATGTTCGTTGTGCTTGTGTCACCCTTTCTGTGTGCAGTGATGACTTCGAAAGCACTCTGATAACCATGCAGGAATACTCAGTGTTACCCACCAACTCGTAGACATATGTTGTTGACTCAGCTGTGTTTCAGCTCTGCCCTTGGCTTCCCCACCCCTTGAGTATACATATTTTTGTTCATTTTGAGAGTAAGAGGAAGGCAGAAAGATAATGCTGCAAAAAAGGGCTGTGTTGCAAATGTGTGATTATGAAAATACTTCCTCCTGAAGCATTTTTCTGCCCTTATCTGCCAGCATTCATTTGAGCTCAGCAGTGTGCCTGTTCCAGCACCTGCCTTCTGGAAGGATGTATCTTGTGCGGTCAGCATCGTAGTTTGGCCTGTTCTATCTCGCTGACCTTTCCCTGGTCTGGCTTAGATGCGTTATGCAAAACAGCCTCTGCTTTGCTTTGAAAAGTAGTGAAGAGCGAAGAGCAAAAAGCCCTCCCCTTGCACAGGCTGGGAGCCTCTCACTGAGGCTGCTCCTTGAGCAGAGCAATGGCTGGCTGTGGATCTTCCCTACTCTGGTTTCATTGTCCACTCCTGTTACGTTGCCTTTGCTCGTTCACATCCCCTTTTGCCTGGGTTGTTTATGCCCTTTAAAGTACAACTAAAACATGACTCTCCTGACCATCCTTCTTGAAGTACATCTGTCTGAGGCAGTGCGTTTAAAACACCCTCTCAGTAAAGCTCTGCCGTTGAAATGAGCAGTTTCTCCTGCTGCAACGTGAGGGCAGACAAGCTGCCTCTCTCCTTATTTACTGTCTCCAGACCCCAGAGCAGATCTCTGAAGGAGTCATGCACAATCGAATAGGACAGACGGTTCTGCCACCCACCCCGTTGACTTGTTTGCTTAATGAATTGATGTTTCCTTGGAACAAGCAGCACAATAGAGCTCTGCTGGAATCAACTGCAGCTCTTTCTCTGCAGCCTGTGTGCTCCTGGGACCCCAAAGGGTGTTAGGAAACATGAGGCTGGGCCCCACACACGTTTGCTTGATTTCAAAAGGTGCCTATCTCTTCCATGGGGACAATAAACTCCCTTTTCAATTTAGTTTTCAGTGCAAGGAGGAAATACTGCATTAAACAAACAAAAGCCGGAGTATATTTTTATCATGGGACCCGAAGCTGAGAGACTGTTATTTGTTTCTTATTAATTTAGTGCTGGGAATGGTGATGATGACTGATAGCCTCTGGTTAGTCATGGAACAGGGCATGTACTCCATCCCTCCCTAATGTCCTCCTCTGTAGCCACCAGGCAGAACATGAGGAGGACCCATCCTCAGATGCTCCAGCTCCTAGGCCCTGTCAAGAAGAACCCTGTGAATGTTGAGTGCTCAAAACTAATCACAGCTACGTTTGGCCACTTACAGAAGTGGCCTGATTTTCACAATTGCTGAGTGCAGTGGGAGCTGGAAGTCATATTCTGCCCCTGAGAAAATCAGGTCACTTAATTAGGTGACTAGCTATGGCTGAGGTGCTCAGATTTACTCGTGCTGGATAGCAAGCATTGGCTGTGGTATTGTAGCTGGTGGTAAGAAGTGGTTTTGGGATGCAGATGCACCAGGAAAGGGAAAAATAAACCAGAATCTAAGTTATTTTTCATAATCTATCAAACTGATGTTGTACAGCAACCATTTTTGGCTATGAAAAATTGCAGCTGGATTCAGATATGAGGTGAAGAGCTTTGTGAGCATTACTTGCCCCTCTAACCACCCAATTCCTCCATCTCTTAAGTTCTGCTGCCTCTGAGATGAAGTACAGAGAAATCATTCAACAATGCACAGCAACACGTAATAGCAATTTTGAACAGGCATCAAGGGAGATGCTGAGTCCATGTGCAGGTCTGGAGATGGAGAGTTTAGAGAAAGGGAAAGAAGATCCTAACACCGGTGTCTTCCAAAACCACTGCAGGTATTTTAGCCACCACAAAGAATCAGATGCTTTTGGTTCTTCAACCTCAACCTTCCCATTTTTCAATGTCAATTCCCAAGGAAAGCCTTCCCCCCACTGAATCACTGGTTAAACAGTACCTATATACTGCCAGGAAGTGTCCCAGCTAAACGGTTGACCCCATAGCCTGAAACATTACAGCGGAAAGGCACTGCTGCCCTGGCATACATATTAGTGTGTAAATGGTGCCCATTTTAACCCCAGCCTGCTTAATAGAAAAGCACACAGCTCTGTATGCTACAGAACTTAACTCATTACTGTCAAAGGATTTTGGGCTTCCTGCATTTTCAGGGTAGGAAAGAAAGAGCCAACAGGGTTATGTCAATTCAGCTAGGAAATAGGTATCAATAAACATAAAGTATAATGGCAAAATCCCATTTACTTCAGAGGAAATTACTGTAATGGGGAATGATGCATTGACCATAAAGAGAACCTTCAGTCTCAGAAGCACCACATAGAAAGCCTTCCTCTGCGAGTGCTCTGCTTTCTTATTCTAGTCCAGCTTAAGAAAGGAGGGGGTTTATGGCTGCCAGTGGTGCTGTAGTGCGTGGGTAATGAACTGCCATGTGGAAAGTTAATGCAAACAGCAAAAGAGTAAAGGACAGTGGTGAGCTATTCTGAGGTATTTCTTTATGTGCTCCTGCATTATACTTTCTCACTAAAAAGGTATGCAAAGTTTGGGGTGTTGATGCCCACAGCAGAGATGAGCTGTGTGGAAGGTGCTGTGGATGGGGAAGATGAGTGAGCTTGTGCAGTGTGGCTGTACAGGGTCCTGAGCCTCCATTACAGATGCAGGCATGGAGATGTTCAAGCCTGGAGCTGGCCCTTCAGGCACATACGGAACAGAGACCACTGCAGGCAGCCTCCTCCTCACATGTTCAAATACACCAAGGCTGAGTCATAGCGCTGGTCTGTACCCTCGAGTGCAGACAGCTTGTTTGTTCTCCAGAAGCAATGTCTAATTCATATAAAATTGGCCCCTCTGGCTGCTGCTTAGGACTGAATTTCCCAGTTTCCACTGGCTCTCCCTTTGCTATAATAAGCAGAGATCCAAACCCTGCTGTAGGCAGAGCTGACCTGTCTCTGTTGTAAGGGAGCTTGCTCTCTCTGTGCGTGTTGCTGCTCACAGAGGCAGTAGAAAACACTAACGGCAGCCTCCACCTCAGATCCACCTACGAGTTGTCTGCCTACAGAGGCACCGAGGGATTTGTGAATGAGCAATGGAAGGATGGAGACAGCCTGTAGAAGAAAGGGAGTGACTAAATCTTCCCTTTCACTATGTGCCCCAAGCTTAGGCAAACTTCTTATCCGTGAACAAAACCCCTCGGAGGGATGAATTCATCATTTCAAGTAACTCTGAATCTCTGGCCCATAAAATATTTAGCTGTGTAAATAAAGATTTTTTTGGGAACTGCATTAAACATGATGGAAGTATTTGGCTCCCCTCATCGCTGGGTTCAGTTCGAAGGGCTGCCTGACATGATAAGATAGGAATTATGGATCATATTTATGCCAAATGAGTTTGCAAGAAGAATGCTGCCAACTAGGACGTTTTTTTTAGGATTATAAACTAGGCACCTTTATTTTTGCCTGTATGCATGTATAAAATATGTCTTTATGGAAACATATTAAAATAGAGATATGTATAGGGAAGCAGATAGAAATACTTTACAAACAGTAAAAATCCCAGCTTTACGTGGGATGTGTTTCCAAATGTGTGGGATTCCAAATGTATGTGC